AAAAATGTTCTTAAGTAAAGTTTTTGATTAAGTGTTGATAGAGCATTAATCAGTGTTTCCACTTTGACAGACAAAAAGCATAGAGCATGTTTCTTTCACCTCCCACCCACCCAGTCACTGAGTCACACCAGACGCAGTCTCTTTTGCAGAGCACATTCCGATGCAAGACAAAATATTTAGATTGTTGTGCGTTGGGTAGACACACAGGACAGAGAGGTGAATGAAACACAGTGAGTATCAAATCAGTATAAATCTTTCCTGCAGATTGGTTTCAGCTTTGTTTTAAACTCTGCTTTTGTGTCCTGATGCTCCAACACCTCTTCAAATACCTGCTTGTACGAACACTGTGATTTAACATCGAGAACACAGACTGTTTTATTAATTTATATACTTCCTTTTGTGTATTTTTTTTTAACAGGTCTATCTGAAAATATTTAATAATTCTGATGTACCCTTACACAAGTAAAGGTATTTCTACTGCAAACAAATAGGTAGTGTAACAGCACATGTTGATATGCATAATGGTACTGTCATAATAACATACTGCTTTACAAATAATCTCACAGGATTATTGTTTCTGATGTATTCAATTGTGAGCAGTATTCTTATGTTGTAAATTAAGTTAAGATATTTGTACTTTTTCTTTTCTATTTTTCTCTTCCAGCAACATTTAGAGGGAAACAATGTTGTTTCTATTTTGCAGCTTGTTGCTAAAGTTCCTTTGCTGCTTAATATTTTACACACAAACATTTGATGATCTTAAGTAATATTGAAATTGATTTCTCTACACTGGAGAGCTAGCTATGCCAGTCAACTTCTACCTTTGCTTCAGTAATAGTAATCCAATAATACAATAGCTGGACTGTTACTTTACATATGTATTGATAATACTGTTGCACAAGAATAAAGAAAAAAAAAACTCTAGATGTTATTCATTGCTGTCATTTAAATTAGTGAAAAAGGATTCAATGGGAAAAAAGGGTTACGGTTATACTTTGGTTAAAACTTAAAAAAATATCTTTAATACAGTCAGTGAAGATATGTACTAATTTTATGTTTTCATATGCATTAAGCTGGATGGAATATAAAACTTGGTTTCCATATCTGTGGTTGTCATGCAGTCACAGTTTAAAAATATAAATTTGTCTTAGTTTGCTCAATAATCCGTGATGCATATGGGATTTAAAGGTTTAAAAGTTTTTCAACAACTCATCTTCTCTTCAGTGTATTAAATATGCAGAGGACAAACATCATCAGGGGGATCTTCAGTGGAATCTGATGTTTATACAAGCTGCAGTTATGGAAACTATCTTCCTCCACCCTTTACTGAATAGAGGAAGAACCAACATTTTATTATCTCGGTGATTGAATAACAGAGAGGAAGAGGGCAGGTCAGGACACGGCCAGATGTGAACAGCAGATGTTGACTTCATCAAGAAACAATAATTAGCCTACAACCAAACAAATAAATAAAGATTGGAGTGTATCTGTTTTACATGAGATATGTTTTCCTTCTCTGGAGCATCTGCAGTTCAGCTCAGTGTGCACTAGACTTTTAGAATAAAATCTTACCTTATCTTATCTAAGTTTTCATGACTAATCTTCGGTTTCAGTTAGATAAAAGTGTCTACATGCATGTTTTGGGTGACATGCTATCGACCACATTATTCCAATGTTGTTATAGCCTGAATTCTAATTCCACATAATGCCAGTTACTACAGACTAGCTGCCTGAATGTTCTCATTTAGTTGTGTTACGTAATCGTAGCAGTTTGCTGCGTGTAGTTGCCTGACTATGATATCCTGGCATCCTGAAATACCAGGACCTGCTGCTCAGACTTGCCCAAAAACATCAGTCTTGATTGAACAGCATTAGATTTATGAATTGAGCCACATGACGTACTGAAAAAGCGTCAGTTTTAAGGCTGTATTTCAGTTAACAGTGTAGTTAAAAAATGATTTTGAATGAGGTTTGCTCTGGTTAAACCAAACATTACCTAGTGCGGGTAGTTAGCAGAGCAGTAAGAGGTGTGGAGATCGAAAACGAGCTAAATTCACTTAACTGATGTTGATTTAAATCTTGCTTTTATTTACTTGATCCCATCAACATTTATCACTTCACTTTCACTCTGCCTTTAATTAACCAAGATCTAACTTACGTTTTCTCCATGTTGCACGAGGAGAACTATAAAGACGATTAATCCAAAATGTCTTCCCTCAGATTAGCATGGATATGTCAGAGGGCGATTACGACTACTATCATGACAACATCAGCTTTAACTTCAGCTACGATGACTACCCTACATTGTGCGAGAAGGCGGACATCCGATCCTTTGCCGGCTACTTCCTCCCGATCATGTACGCCTTGTGTCTGGTGGTGGGACTGGCGGGAAATGCCTTAGTCGTGATCGTGTACGCCTACCAGAAACGCCTCAAGACCACGATGGATGCATTTCTGACCCACCTCGCTGTGGCCGACCTGCTCCTACTCTTCATGCTGCCGTTCTGGGCCTCTGACGCTCGGAGGGGCTGGGAGCTTGGGTTGGTCGTGTGTAAGGTCGTCTCAGCTTGCTACACAGTCAACTTCACCTGCTGCATGCTGCTGCTGGCCTGCATCAGCCTGGACCGTCACTTCGCTATAGCCAGGGCACAAGGGAAGGACCAAGGAAGCTGGCTGCAGAAGAGGATGTTTTGTAGGAGACACTGTTGGAAGGTGTGTTTTGTCGTCTGGGCAACAGCTTTCATGCTCGGTCTTCCTGATTTAGTTCTCTCAGAGGTGAGGTGGGCATCTAATCGGAGCGTCTGCCTGGCAGTCTACCCTCCATCTATGGGTCGAGGAGGTAAAGCTGCCCTGGAGATAGCAGAGGTGCTGCTGGGCTTCCTGATTCCTCTCTTGGTCATGGTGATCTGTTACTGGAGCATGGCCCGAGCGTTGAAGGGTCTCCCTGTAGAAAGCAGAGGCCAGAAATGGAAAGCTCTGCGTGTCCTTCTGATAGTAGTGGGAGTGTTTGTGGTCACGCAGCTGCCTTACAACGTGCTGAAGGTTTATCGAATGATGGACTCGGTCTATGCTTTTGTGACCCACTGTGGGACAAGTAAAGTGCTGGATAAGGTGACTCAGGTGACGAAGAGCCTGGCCCTCACTCACTGCTGCCTCAACCCTATCCTCTACGCCTTCGTGGGCTCGTCCTTCAGGCAGCACCTGACAAAACTGGCAAAGAGGTTTGGTGAGAGGAGAAGAAAGAGGAGGACGAAGAGGAAAGAAATTCCTGCAGAGGAAGGGATGGAGATGTCATTTAACTCCCTCAGTGCATCTCAAGCAACAAACACTTTCTCAATATGAGTCATTAGTGTGCAACAATGATCATCTTCACATGGACCACATATTTAGTGTAAGTAGCATAAGAGCGGATTCAGTTAGTGTAGAAACCCATTAAGTTGTACAAAAATGTATATCCCTCAATATCAACAACATGTGGTTGATATTTAAAATGTGTGTATGTCTCTGCTTTTAGTTTCATTTTTTTTCTGTCAAGTAACTGATGAATGGAAAATACATGTTTGGTTGGACCTTAATAGCCTGGTTCAAATTATTTTATAGAGTTCAAAGAATTTATTCTAGAGCTGGATAGTTCACATGCTAGTGTTATTTCTTATTATTCACAAAAAAAATTTTTTTTTTTTGTCCAAAAAAAATGTTATAAAAATTTTCTTTGGATGAGCATTCACACTAAATTTAGTGTCAAATATGAAAGATTCTTCATGTCTGTGACCTTTGTACTCCTGAGCGCATACCAAAGTATTCAAGAGTGAAAATAAATGTGTTAGGACCGGACTTTTGATTCCATGCCATTGACACCAAACTATTTGTTTCACTGTTCCTCACCCTATGCCCCAAATTTCTTAGCTGTACCAGTGGACCGTGAATTACAAAACCCAGTGGGATTTCACTCCCTCTCATGTGGTTAAGTCCCAGTTCTGTTGCTTCCTGGATTCCTCTGAATATCTGAAACACATGTACGCCTCACTTCTTCCCGAGAGCAAAGAGCCAAACTCCACAAGAGAGTGAAAAACAACCTCCTTGTGAGACGATGTTTTAACACCTAAAATATTATATTTCCATTGATGCTGCAAACCTTATTAGATCATTACAGATGTTTTCCTTTAACACTGATGTTATTCCTTTCCTTTTAGACCAGTTTAAACTTCCACTTGATTAAAATCTCTAACTTTAAAGTTCAATGTAAATACCACGCTACAAAGTTTAGTGGATGTGTTTTATTATCCAAATATTAGATGCACTCTAGTTTTCTGTCTGCGTCACAGCTAGCACAGATAAATAAATCCTTTAACAGGCCCTGCTCTGGTATGTGCGCCATCTCATGTGGAAACCATTTCATTGAGGTTTACCATCTGCTACACTTTGCTCCACCAAAAAAAAAAAAAACAGAACCCATGTTGAAATGATTCCGTCCCTCATTTCCACATTTTCAAATCAAACTATGATAATTACTTGTGAGAAAAGAAAAGTTCTTACGTTGAGATTAAATACATTTATTGAAAATGTGCAAAGAAACGACAAAACGCAACAAAAACATGGCTTCTTGTAATTAAAAAAAATATATAAATATTCAAAAAGCCACAAGGCTTGTAATATTTATTGTGTCAGATGAGAAACATGGATAATTAACTTTCTAAATTACAATTAAGGCAGTCAACCAGCTTCAGTTTCAAATTAGAGCAAAGAATTGTCTTTTCTTAAATTAAGTTAAAAAAAAAAATCTCAAATATATAAATGTAAAATAATCGAAATATTATTTTTAAACAAAAAAACTCAAGAGGCCTAAAATGGCAGTGACACAATAGAAAAGAAAACCTTCTGGCATTTTTCACAAGAACAAGGTTACAAAAAGTAACCAAAGCATTCACTCTTTAAATACAATATGACATAACTATAAATCTGTTAACACAGTATGGTTTCCTTGAAAACAAACATACTTACCCTGAACTAGATCATGAACCCTGTATCAAACATTAGAAAAAAGCCAATACTGAACATGTTACTGTAAATGTCCTCTGACGGAAAACACTGTCACAGTCACAAACGTTGATAAACTACAGGAAATAAATCTATTGTCTTCAAGTATCTTTCCAGCGGATGTGGAAAAATACAAACTTCACATGGAAATGAATCAGTAGGATGCTACAGGATCTGTCCTGGATTTCTTCCAGTAAGGCACCAAACTTCCCTGTGCAATGTTGCAACTTGCCACTTGTAAAAACTTTTGAATCTTGGCTCAGTAAATATATTAAGGTTTTTTCATTCAGGCACTTTGTTTTATGTTGACTGAGGCAGTGTAGTAAATAAAGTATTCTTGTACTCAGTGTTGAAGTCTTAAGTGTGCGGGATGCTTTTTTCTTTTTTTTTTAAGTATCAGCTGTGCAACTATAACAAAAATGAGCAAAGGTGTGTTTGAAGCATCTTCACAGATTATATAAGCTCACAGGAGAGTCCAATATCAGCCGTCAGTAATTTAGGATCTGCATGTCAAACAGGTCACACACCCCCTCACTGTCGTCCAGATTGAAGCTGTAGTCCATCCCTGTGTGTGAAGAGAGAAACATAAATGAGACAAAGACAGATATAGATTGTTTGCTATGCTAGCAGCATAGCACTGAGTATGACAATGCTCAGTCTGCCAGAAGCAGACAAAGGAAAAAACTGATCCTTTCAAGAAACTCATCCATGGATAGGTTGACATTATTGTTCCCAACAAGCTTTTAAAAAATGATTCCCAAGTCTCTTGTTTCAAGAGTAAATGATTGTCCCATGTAGAGTAGAATGGATGATTAAGCACTGTATGCATTGGGGGCGTGGATACCGTGTGATTGACAGGTAGCATGTTAAAAGAACATGTTAACGTCCCCTGAAAATGTTAGACTTGCTGAGCTTTAGTGGTTTAAATGTACTAGGTGGACTGCAGGTCCCATTCTATCACTGCTGAGTGTGGTAAAAAAATGAAACAGATTTTGTTTTGGATCACACCCACCAATCACACTGAGTCTAATGGAGGAGAAAATGGAAACCAGATGTGTAACTGCTCATAATAAATAAATAAAGTCAGTTAATTATTATTGTTGTTATTAATGAGATTCTTACCATCAGCAGACATTAGCTCATCGATGAGATCAACAGCACCTACAAGAAAACAACAAATCTGATTTTTTGTGTTTCACGGTGCATTTTGTACCAAAGTATAAATATATTATTCAGCCTCGTCCCAAAGCTCCGAAACAAAATGCTGAATGAATTAAGACAAGCTAGATCCTAAAGCTTTTACAGACACAGTTCAAACAGCCTGAGCCTCACTGCTGCATTCGATAACAGAATGAAGTGTGTTCCCTGTTCACATCCTCTTACTGTCTCTGTCGTCCTTCATGGGGCCTCCAGCAGAGCTGACCTTCAGCAGGCTGCTCACGTCCAGCACAGACTGGAACTCCGAGCCCGCCAGGTCCATCTGCTGCTGCTCAAACACCGCCACAGGCTGACACTCTGAAGGGAGCAGGCCAACAGAATACTCAAATATACAAGTGCTTAAGGAATCCTGCAACATTACAGGGTTCAACTCTGGACCTAGAACCAGTAGATGAGGACAGTACACGACACATTAAGAGTGAAGCTCTGGAGTCCCTGAGAAAAGCAATTACAAGAATTTAGGAAATAAGCTTATTTGCCAGGCGTCAGATTAAATGCTTGATACCGCTCTCGCATCTGTTTGTTAGATTAGCTTTCAGACCGAGAAATAGTCCAACACATAACTGAATACATTTTCTGGTTTTCTGCATTGTATTGAGAATCCCTCATGCTTTCCTGAAGACAGTGCGAGTTTCACTTTGACTGTATAAGGGGATGTATGTTGGCACATCGTTTAATTTTCTCACATGATTAGAGCAGCACTGACTCATCCATTTCTTTGAAATCCTGGATCTGGATGAGTCATTCATTTATGCATAAATGGTCTGTATTCATATAGCTAGTCTTTGATGGCCACTCAAAGTGCAGTTTTTTGCCATTCACACATATTCATACAATGCATCTATGGGCAGCACTTATTTCCATGAGGGGCATTTTGGGGTTCAGTATCTTCATTATCTGCAGTTGTGTCCAGAAAATGACGAATTTAGAAGTTTAAGATAATGTGTTTACAAAGTTCCAACATTATTTTCTGTTCTGGTATCGTCACCATCTCTGCTTTTATACCCACACAGCATGCAGTCTTATGATTATGTTTGTTAAGCAAATAAAAATGACATTTTTACCCCATATTTTTCAAATCATATATACTTTTTACAACCGTTTTACCAAAACTTGATATATGGATCATTGTTTTTTTTTGGTAATCTAAATGCACTATGAAAATTAACTTGAGAAATTTTAAACATGCTTTAAACAATCAGGCCTTCATGACAGTTTCATAGAAACAAGCAGGAACTCTTTTCAAGTTTCATGTTCTAGCGTGTCCAGGCAACAGTTGACACTTGAGAGTGAGTCAAATTCTCATGATAATTTCGTAATGCCAGTATTTTTTCTTGTCTGTCAGCAGGGTTTGATTTCCAATTATTTAGTTCCAGTTATTGGACATGGGAGAGTTGCTAAGAACACAGTTTAGGAAAACTGTCTCTGCTTGTGATTACATTACTACTACAGTAGTTTGTAAATAGCAACGATGACTATCATCTGTTAAATAATTAAATAGCATCACGAACTACAGCCCCTATGATCGGTATTTGTCACTGTCAAGTTTATTCAATAAAAATTCAATTATAAATATGTGCTATTTATAGCAAGCTGAAGTTTGACACAGCTGTAACTAATAATAAGTGTGAATGTCCAGTAGACTTCTCTTCATGAGGGATATTACCAGTGGTATTTGGTGTAAGTCTACACCAGTGTCAATTTCTCTGCACCATTTCTGATCTCATTTAACCGCAACACCCAGTGCACTCAGCAACAGAAGCTCCATATAAAATCTCCTTTTCTTGTGGTTGAGGATGTTGCCTCAGCTTAATCAGGTCAGAGGAATTGTAACATGAAATTGTACCTCTCTGTATAGGACACTATTTATTCATTGTGTACTGAATTTGAGAGGTCTGTTAGACATACTGTGCAAACAGGATCTCTCATTTAATATGTAGAAGCTGTTGAAGCTGTGGCTTGTTTTTTGTAATTTTGCACAAATATCAAGTATTTTCATATTATGTTCACCACAGCCTGAGTGAAGTCTTTAAATGTTAATAGAAGTTGTATGTGGTGGTTTTCTAGCACAACATAAGAAGCATAATAAATGCTCATATATCAAAATCCCTGTTCTTACCCATCTGCACATCAGGAGGGGTGGACGACATTGTCAGCACTTCATCAAGTTCTGGTAGCACCATCTGGTGGTCTGAGCAGAGGGAGTCCTGGCTGCAGTAGGAGGAGGTGGTGTTAGAGGTGGAGTACACAGACGTGGAGAGGTGGAACCTCTGCAGGCTGGCGGGGGTGCTCGGTGGGGTTGGCATCGAACAGATGTCGTCGGTCGGTGGCACAGAGAAGACCACTGGTATTGAAGAGTCTGAATCTTTGTTGATCAAGATGACCTGGATGGGAGCCGAGTGGCTGCGTAGATTCACCTGGTATTTCTTCTGACCGCTCTGGCCCTGGGGAGCAGCAACATGTTGATGAACCCACAAAAAAAATTTGCACATGATTCTGCAGGTTCTCTCCAGTCCCACTGTCCACCCTCGAGGACTCAGACCTTGAGGCACGTTCCAAAAAGTCCATGAGGGCTCAGGGCTGTTCTACTGTGAAATCATCAAGAGTGTGAGGTCACACTTTCTGAGCATGGGTAAACTACCCAAATGGCAACGTAGCAATAATCAAACACAGAAAGAGCAACCAATCCTGACATTACAAGGAAAAAAAGTTTTCATGTAGTCTTGCTTTTAAACAAACATTCAAACCAACCAACAAACTAACGGACAGGGGTGAAAACATTACCATCTTGGCAGAGGTGAAAACAGAAGTGTGGTGAAAACTAGTCTTGCTGGAGCGTGTTGGGGAAGATTTGAGAGCATTTGAAAAGTGACCAACCATTTCAGGTAATGGAACCTCCAGCTGCGTCCCAGCAGGAGCCACAACAGCAAGAAGAGTGTCGCCGCTAAAGGCATTGCAGACGTCTTCATGTGTCACAAATTTGTAAGTGGAGAAGTGTTAAGGGAACAGGATTACTCATGGAAGGAGAAAGTAGGTAATAAACTGGAAAAACAAGACTGAACGTTTGGGACGTTAGGATTAACCTGGCTGCGATTTCAGAAGACACTGACAATAGCAATTATATCGGTAAACCTTCCTTCATAGCATTTTCTCTGCTCAATACTCAAACAATGCTAAAAGGATTAAAAAAGGATTTTATGTGGGACTCAAAGAGGAGTTGAGTTACTAACTACAGAGAGTACAGAGTATACCAAGTGACATTAAAAGACATTTCAAACACTTGATGGGATGAGTCAGACTGGAGGCAGCTTTTAGGTTAGGTTACAAAGTAAGAATGTGGGTGTTTTGATTTCCACTAAACATGAAATATAATAATAAAACCCGTTTTTGTTTAGTTTTAACTGATTAAGAAATTGATCGGGGCAAATGAGAAAACCACTGACAAAAACTTCATCTTGAAATAAAGGATATGTGCTGGTGATGGGAACGTGGTTCAGGTGTTTGATGTTTTCCTCCAGCCAGGCCTTCTGCTTGTCCAGCTCCTTCTCTTGGGCCTCTAGCTCAGAGATCTGTGCCTTCAAAACCTTGACCTGCTCCAGCATCTCTTGAGTTTGGCTTCCTGTGTTCTCGCCCCTGGACAATGAGACATTAACACCAGTGTTTTAATCAGCAGGTTTAGAGGCATCGTAAGCATTGCGGCTGATAAAATGTCTGAATTCTATGGCTACTTTTCATGCATGCATTTAACTTTACTGATTGTACCATGTAGAAAAATGCGTTTTCAAACCTCCACTGGATAATATTCTTGTTTTTCTTCTCAATCAGCCCCACACCTTCCAGGACATTTGTGATGTCATATATCCTCCTCTTCTGCTTCACTGCCAAACTGTCTGCAGCCTGTTAATTCACAAAGGGTCTTACTCTGTGGTAGCTTAATGTGAATTCTTGTTGACAGGGTTCAGCACTTTAAACGGGCACTAGCATAAAAAAACAGGACATTTGTGCAGCAAACACTGCATGAAATGAAGAAAAAAGGAGACTTCAGTGGAGCCAACAAATTAAACATTTGGCAAATGAAGCTGCACAGGGAGCAAATCAAAGCCCTTGGCTGAAGAGGACATGCATACAATAGCAGAGGATGAAGGAGGAGGGAAATGGTGTGAGGAGCCTGCCGTGTAAACATTAGCCAGCTTTGGCGCGCAAGAAGAGAGGGAAAACTACTAATCACAGAGAATGAAAGAATTTGTAGAGGTCACCTCAGGTAGGTCTGACAAAGACAAATCCACCTGTCAAGAAACTGAGAGCTGAAAGGTAAACGGTTTTCAAACCTTAGGGTTAGAGCCAGAAGGCAACACATTAATTTGGGGGATGACAAGAAGAAAACTTTCAAGAAAGAACTTCTACTTGTTGACACATTACTGTTGTAGCTGCTGGAGCTGGTGGGACTAGTTTCAACTTGAAAGTTTGGTGATAGGGCCGGACGATACAGCCACGAGTGTTAAGATGTCAAACGTTTCATATCAGTCAGTATAGATGATTAATATGATAAATATCAAATTATTCTATATTTAAAGTTTGGAGACTCTTTTTTAATAAGTGAAGGTTGGAGAATGACATTTGCTTAACACCCAAACATTTTACAAATCTGAGGTAGAACATAAAAACAAATCATGTGTTATACGTCCTCACCATGCTTGCACATTGTATATTTTGTTATATTGCAGTTGATGAAAATGATATTACGATACTTCTGGTTATTATTTTATTATCCACCCCATGAGGCAGTTGGGTCAAGTGGTGCCCAACCCCTTCACAGGATGTCCCATTGAAAAACAAACCTTTTCATTTGGGGACCTTTCTCTAATGTTTACTCTCTGCTTGTACTTTACTCACAAGCTAAAATGTTGGGATCCACTGATTCAATCTGAAATGTGACACTTTATTTTATCAGCTTATTGTGTTTTGTTGTTGATCTAAAAAAACAACTACAGGAAATAAATGAAAATACTAACATTCAAGTACCTTTAAACTGTATTGAAGACAGACAGACAGACAGACAGACAGATAGATAGATAGATAGATAGATAGATAGATAGATAGACAGACAGATAGATAGATAGACAGACAGATAGACAGATAGATAGACGGAATAATAAAAGGTCAAAATTAGTTAAGAATAACTGCAGTGAGATGAAAGTCTCGCCAAAGCTGTCACTGTAAACAAATATGTGCTAATGGAGATATTGACAATACAAATATATTTAAGTATAAAATGAAGTATAAAGTATTAGTACTGAGTTACTTTCTACCACGAAGTGTTAGTGAACCCCCAGAGGAGCAGCAGCAGCAGGAGGAGAAGGAGGAGGAGGAGGAGGCCTGGCTAATGGCGACTCGCTCCTCCACCTGTTAAAACAAATCAGAGCACCTGCCTGTCCGTGTCTTTGTTCACGGCGGGTGGTGCCTGAGGAGAAAAACAATGGACTCCTCCTGAAACACAACCCCTGAACCTCCTCCCCCCCGGTCACTCACCACCTTCAGGTCCAGGACTCCGTCCTTAGCTTCTTGTAGCAGACTCACAAACTTCATCGTGAGGAGCCCCAAACTTTTCTCGTGTCGACTCGGTGTGGAGCGAACCGTCCCCGTCGCCTGGAACTCCATCTTCTCCTTCTTCTCCTCCTTCTCCTTCTTCTTCTCCTTCTTCTCCTTCTTCTCTCTGTGAAGTCCAACTTGTTTAGTAATCCGCGTGTTTGACTCCGAGCATTTCTTCTTCTACGGGTCTCGTCCTCTGCGGGAGGACTCAGGCACCTGCAGCTTTTTAAATCTACGGACGTTACGTTGAGGTTACCGTTGCCACGGCAACACCCGTCCCGTTCCGCCAAGCCCACCCCATCAGCGAAGCACCGCCTCGCCCCGGGTGTGACCCCGCCCTTTCCCGTCCCGTCATGTATAAAATAAATAAAATTTAAAAAACAAAAATTCAAGTTTAAAAAAAGTCTAAAGCTCATTTCCGCCACTGTGGTGATAAAAATAAAGATCCTTTAAGTCCCTACTTTCTCAAAAATAATGACAGTTTCTCATTATTATAAGTTACTGTCTCATACATTGCCACCACCAGTAACTTACAACATAATTAAATGTGCCATGGAACATATCAGATATATGAAAAGACGAAATATCGCGAATCAAACAGTGAGTTGAGTGAAATGAACATTAATATTCATTTCTCATGATTTCATTGAAAATGTATTTACCTTTAATTAGCATCTGCACGGTATGTAATACACTTAAAGTGGTTTTATTGAAAGTAGTTTTTTATGTGTTTGCCAACAAAACAACTCAGGTGATTCCCATAAAGAAAATAGAATAAAAATAAAACGTAGGTCCTTTTTCCAAAGGTTGCGGGTTAGAAACTTTTCATGTGGAATTAACAAACATTTCTGTCTGTAAACACAGAATTACAACGTAAAGTAGTGAGGAAAGAAAAAGTCTGAATGATACAATGAAGAGTCCAGAGATCTAACGAACAAGAAAATAACATGTTCAGGGATAAACATCACACAATCACTTCAAATCATTCTATTTCTCAGACTTTGAGCAGAGTGAACCCTCTTTCCAATAAAAACTAATCTTTTCCTCCACTAGAGAAACATCTTCTCACACAAATGTCCAGAGGAACAAGAAGTAAAGAGACTGTTGGACTCACCGGATGTCCACAGGAGAGAAGAGTCTGAGATCAGCTGTTTGTTTGGAGACAGAGCTGCTGCTGGACCAGATGCTGTGCGGCCATCTCTCCACAAGGAGGCGCTCGCATGATTCCTATTCTTCAGTATCGGTGGAATTCAATGGCTAATGTGCGATGCATTCAACTGTCACTATATTCTATTTCAAATGTATATATCGTTTATATTATATTTTCATTTTATACTTCCTTTCTCTTATATAGCATGTTCTCTTATTTATTACTTTTACCTATGTCTATGACTATCCATATTATCACTGCACCACAGTGAATCTCTCCATTGTGGGATGAAGAAAGGATCCTTTTATCTTTTCTTATCAGCAGTAATTGATTATCAAAATCATCGCTGACAATAATATGTATACAATGTAGGATGAATATGACAAGAACAGTGCAAACGGGTGTGAATTGAACTTGTGTTTAGGAAAAAGAAAACATTAGGGCCACATTGAAGAAGACAAAATTCTGACATTTCCAGAATAAAGTCGATATTTTTACTATCTATTTATACTGTGTTTGAATCTACATATTATTTCAATAGCACATAAAATAACTGGAGACTTTTTAAAGACTGGTTGAATCATCTTTATTTTGGCCCTTGTAAAATTCACGGAATAAATTAGAGTACAGAATGCAGTGAGTGTCAGGTGACTTTTTAACATTTGTGCGCCTGCAGAGGATGGAGGTCCGCCATATTGTCTGCAGCCGGGTGTTGCTAATGAACAATCAGTAATTAAGCAGTGTTTGCTTGTTTATGATTGTTCGTCTCTACAGACTTTTTCTTTCTTTAAAATGATTTTCGGTGGAAGTAAAATCACAGGTTCCTGCTCTGTTGTCTGTATTTCCCAGAAGCCTGAGAAAGAAGGGGAGAAAATCACATTTAAAGCAAATTCAATTATGTTGAAATGCAACAGTGATCAGCAGCACTAGCTTAAAAATAAGAATCTATACAAATACACATCACTTACCTGCATTTTCACTGCCCTCCTCTTTGAAGGCTCTGTACTTCATCACCTCGGCCACGATGAAGTTCTCAATGTTAGCATGGATCTTTTCCTGCAGCCTGAGGAGCTTTGGAACCTTCCTTTGTAACAGAACTTGCTCAAGGGCAAGTTTATTACATAAATCATGATACATCAAAAAAACAATAACTTAGCATAAAAATAAATAAGTAAATACAAATTCAGTGTTTTAATATATAAATTTCTGTAGCTGACACACAATATTTCATGGGTTAAAAGTCTTTCAGTACACTTGTGAGACGTTTCATTTTCTCTTCCATGATTCTCTTGTTAGCTTCCGTCTCCTCCAGAAGGTGACGCATCTCCTGCTCCACTTCAAATACCTGAGGAAGACACACACACATTCAGACAAACTCAGCTGCAACACACTTCTGAGTATTGTCTTACTCATTGTGTCATCATTTTCAATCATTTCGATGACTATGGTCTTGAGAAGAGGAAGAAGACTGATTGAAACCACATAGGGTGTGTAGAAACTGCAGATTTCATTTACACAGTTTGCTCTACTATCTAACATTTAATAATTTTTTACTATATTTGTTTTCTCAAATCAAGAAAGTCAAGGACTACAGAATAAGAACGACGGGGGAGGTTAATGTTTCCCATTATGCAATTAAATTGAATGTGTAATCGCTGCACCATATCATATATTAAGAGTATTTTAATTAGGGTGGTACAATATTTACTGCAGACATAGAGTGATGAGACTAGACCTGGCTTTTGTTCATGTTTTTCATAAATCATCAAACTGGCACAAAGCAGCAGTTCTGTCTACCAGCTAAGAGGAAAACCAGGCATTTCTGTAAATAATGTGTATATTTTACCTTCTGATTGGCTTGTTCTATTTGTCTCTGCTTTTCATTAGCCTGTCGTACGAGTTCAGATTGATGGGCAGCCTGGACAGACTCCAGTTGTTGCCGAAAGGCATCGTCCACACAGTGTAACTTCTCTACAGCAGTTCTACAGGGAAGACGGCAACCAATTGAATATGCAAGACAATGTAAAATTGTTAATTCACAAATTTAAAATGATATGTTTTCTCAGGGGCAAGGGGACCAATGCCCCTAAATCATGATTTGACGGCTCTGAAGAGCAGAAGGAAAAACTCTTGAGATTTTCCTCTGGTATTTAAGCATACTTGTGTGCTTCTGTTGCGTTATCTCTTTCTTCGAGCAGCAAGCGTTCCTTGGAATCAAAATTGTCCTTCATGCGCTTAACCTGGCTCTCCAACCGAGTGAGCAGGTCTGCCTTCTCCTGCCACTTCTCACTGGAATCTCTAAAAAAGACAGACAACAAAGCAGTAAAAATGTTGATGTTTAAAAAAGTGGTTGCAACGTTAATGTTTGATCAGCAGCAGTCTTGGTGTTTTAATTAAGGTTTGGGTCTGTCAAAAAAAAAAAAAAAAAAATCAACAATTGAGAACCTTTTATGTGGCGTTTTAAAAAAACCCTCTTTAAAAATACAATGATACACTGATCATAACTAATAGGATATTTCTGGACTAATAGGTAGAATGCACCTTTAGCTTTTATTCTTGTCTCATTTAATCTTCTAGACATACGCCTCATTAGAGTTCCTCTGTGCTTAGCATAGTGTGTTTGTGAGGGGGTCCTTGCCTGAAAACTCGTTTGACCTCCTCGAGCTCTGCCTCCTTGTCCTCCAGCTGCTGTTTCAGCTCCTCCTTGCGCAGGCTGAGATGTTCCAGGCGCTCTTTGAGCTCAGTCTGCCGAGCAGCTTCCTCCTCTTGCTGCTGCTGGAACCGATTCTGGCTCTTGACTGCCTCCTCACGCAGCCGACGGATCTGATCATCACGCTCCTGCAAAGCCTAAACAGCAAGAAATTTGGGGAGGATAAGAAAGATGATCGACAAATACATATGCAAATCACATATAAAATATACATGACAGGGAGAACTACCTCTTTGAGTTTGCGGATGGTCTCTGTCTGGTCACCAATGATTTTGGATTTGATTTTGAGGGCGTCATTGTCTCCTTCATTCTGTTTCTTCTGTGTGTCGAGCTCAGTGCTCAGCACCTCTATCCTGGCCTCCAGGCGTCCACGGTCCTGAGCTAAAGACGCTCCTATCAAAGACATACACATAAAAATGTGAATTTCATGATAACACAAACTGTACAGTAACCTTTATTCCTTAATCATTATTCTTAACCTTATTTTACCATTTAATGTTTTTTTTAAATCTCTAATATGAAATGTAAAAGACATGAGTGTTTGTCTCTTATCCACTAGATGGCAGGCTTTACTTGAAATAAGACAAATAAAATTCAGCACCTACATATTCAGACCACCTTCATACTTTACAACTAATAATAATTCACAGACTGACACATCACAGAGTAAGATGCACTCTTACAGTCCTTAAGAACAGTTGAACATAGAACAGCCATTTCAGAGTGGACAATTGTCCTCCTGGACGTCTCAAACCTTGCTGAGCGAGCTCCTGGCCCCAGATCCGTCTCTCTGCCCTGAGGCCATCTATCACTGACTCCTGAGCTGTGAGCTGAGAGAGAAGCCGTGCTTTGTCTTTCTTGAGCAACTCCACCTGCAGGACGAGGCGCCGATCCTGCTCCACCTCTGCTTCCAAGGACTGCAGACGGCTCTGGCAGAGGGACAGACAGTGAGACAATATTAATGATCGGTGGCCACCTATCATGGCTGACAGATGGGAAGGCAGCTGGGCTATTCAGTATTCATGCTTTAGTCAGTCTCCTATAGGCACAGGCGGAACAGTTTTGAAAAGGCAGTGACTAATGCTCAAGACTGGTCATCTCTACACTCTAAAACCTGAATCAGGTCATTTGATTTGAATTTACCTGGAGTGCAGGAGAAAAAAAACTCCCTGCGGTGTTGTACCTTCAGATCAGTGACAGCATCTCTCTTTGCTTTGATGAGCTCAGAGATGCGGCTCTTCTGCTCTTTGACCATGGCCGTGAGCTCCTGCACCAAAGAGACGGACTTCTTCTCCCTCTGCTGGGACTGGGCGAGGGTCGCCTTGAGCTCCATCAGCTCTGCAGTCATCTGATCACAAGCCTCCTTCACCTACAGAAGCAAGTGTTGCTGAATGTTAATGAGACATCTACAAATTAAACAGAGTGTAGGCTTTTGGCTTCTTTGCTGCAAGCACTACCTGACTTGACAATTTTATAGATCAATGTCACTGGTGTCACAGAAAAGGTTTTAAAGTTACAGATTTACAGAAAGCAATCTTTTAAAGGGTTTCACGAGTGAAGGTTTGGAAGGCAATCTATATCTCATTCAGAACTTTCTCAAAGGTCAAAAGTTTGAACTTGAACTGGAAACCTGTGCAAGCAGTAGTAACCGAGAATAAGATTAGATTTTGTACAAAGGCTGAAATTGAAATTGGTAACCATAACGTGAAAGTAAAGAGTGATTTTAAATCCAACCCTTTTGTGTGGCTGTCTTTGTATAACTATCTTCCTGTTGCAATCACTGACTACTTGTCCAGTGTCAAATGATCCTCAGCTCTCACCATGGGCCTTAAATGAAATCTATAGTGTTTATCGAGATTGGGGTTAGATCCAGTTCAATCATTTCACTTTTACCTGGATGTAGCAAGCTTTTATCAGTAAGCCTGCGCAGAGAATAGAATGTACAATTAGCCCATCTGTATGGCTGTTCTCAATCTTTTAGCTGACCTCAGAGAAGCGAACAGCCTCGATGGTTAGTGCCATGCGGAACTCGTCCTCCAGAGCAGCGTACTGTTTCCTGACATCCGCCAGTTTCTCTTGCAGCTGTGCCTCCCTGTGAGCAAGTCTCTGTTCCACCAATGCTCCTTCTTTTGCCACCGCTTCATGGAAATCTGCCCCGCCAGGCTGCAACCGCAACTCCAGCTGTTTTCTGTAGAACCATGCCAGATACATACACCTGAGTTACAAAGGGGGTGTTTAACACTAACAGGAAGTCTTCACATTTTAATTTGTAGGTACTAACATGGAATTCTATTTGATGGGTTTATAACATTGGAAAGTGTTTCCATAAAGCGTTTATATAATAAATGAATGGACAAAAATCTTCCTTCAGTGGTACGTATATCATCCTCATAACAGATGTACCTGTGCTCTTGTTCCCTGGTTGCGAGCAGCTCATGCAGCTGCTGCAGTTTGTCTTTGTGCTGGCGTACAGAGACTCTCTGAATGTCCAGCTCTCTCTTCAGAGCTGCTGCCTTGTTTACCAACTCCTGGTGCTGCTTCATCTGTGAAAGGTCAGCATGAGTTTTATTTTATCAGTATGTCACACTGAGTGACTCTCTGCTGAATTCTCTCTGAAGACTTAAATACTGCACTAGTATAATCAAATATAATAGTGACAGGTATTTAACAGGTTCACTGATAGGTAACCATAATAGGACAGAAACGAAATGAGAGGGTTCACATTTATAAGAGACTAAATAAAGTTGTTCACGTTTCTGTGTCAGAAAAGCAATAGAAGTGTTGTCGGGTATCCTAAACCAGCTACTCTACCTCTTCAGCCTGCTGGCGAGCCCTGAGTGCCTCTCCGTGGGAGATGCTTTCCTCCAGTCGGTGCAGTGCAGTTTTGTGTTGCTCTTCACTGCCGCGGGCCTTCTCCAGCTGCTGGGTTAGGGACTGACACCTCCCCTGCAGCTCCTCAACACGAGTCTTCAGCTCAGAGTGCCCTGAACGCTCCTTCAGCAACATTTCCTTTAGTCTGAGTGGGAGGAAAACCATGATAAGGAGGTGTAAGAGATGCAGGAGTAATACCCTGGATGTCTCTTTTTAATGTATATGGAAATTGATATGGGCAAAACAAAAATGTGATAGCCTTTGAAAATGAAGAACTCTCATACTACAGCATAGTCAAATCTAGTAAATCTGATCTCAAGGAAAAGGGAAATGAAAATACGGGAGGAATGGAAAATATATTACAGTTTGGTGGAAAGAAAAAAAGCCTGGAAGACACACAGTACAATTTAGGGCCATGAAAACTGTAGGACCACTTCATATGCATTAGTACCCTTTAAATGGCACAATGAGTAACTTCTCTGTAATCCGTCTCCTGATGAGCGGGGGGAGACAACAGTAACCGCCGTGTTTAGTATCATTAAAAAGTGACAGTTTAGATTGATTCATGAAAAGCTGCTGACATATGCTTGTCACCAGGCTTCTAATTAAAAGAATAATGCAGATTTATCTAAGCAGGGTGCTGCAGAGATGAGGACTGTGCAGACAATAGTTACACCTGGCTCTCAGGATGTGTCTGTGCAGTGTAGAAAGAGGGGATAGAGATAGGAATATTTAATTATGGATAATAATAGCTCCCGGAATTTAAATATAAGGCATATAAGCTGGATGGATACTTAGGGTAATTATCTTTTTTTACAGGATAGCTTTATTACCACACAAACCTGCAGGCACACTTAAAGGTTTTTAGTATGATGGAGTCAATATGTGTGCTTGATTTCATAAGAAGCAATAGGACAATGATAGTGACTCATTTTAATAGTGGGATGGATACTCATTGTTCTAGAATGAGACAGGCGGCAGGCCCTGGTCTCAGGAGAACCAGTACAAAAGATCAAGAGGGTAGAAATGGATGAGAATCGATTATGCAGTTGACAACTAAAATCCACAGAGATGAGGTAAATTATCCCTTTTCATCAAATCCGCTTTAGAGACACTGTGTGGAAGTATGTGTGCCAAGTGTATACATGTGCAACAAGGTTTTTCTCCTCATACCTGTCTGTGGTGTGCACAGCCATGCACTGCAGGTCTTTTTCCTCGCTGACCTTTGTCTGGAGGCACTTTAGCTCCTCTGTTAGCTTCCTCACAGCCTGCTCAGCTTTCCAACGCCTCTCCCGCTCCTGGTCACGCTCCTCGACAATGGTCTGAGGCACATGTAGACAAAAATACACACTGAGTAAAAAAAAAAAAACACAAAACCAATGGTATCACTTTGGCTTCAACTTAAAAGTGGATTTAAATCACATCTATATTTTTTATTGTTATCCTATGAGTTGACGACCTTGGGTTA